CCAGGGCAGTCAGAACCTGCCGTGGTGCCTGCAGCGATGCACCAGGCGCCGATGGAACCTTCGCTGGGGCGCCCTGGCCAACTCGGGGAACCAGGCAAGGTGGGCCCTGGGGCTCCCCAGGGGGCCCACAGGGCCATGGGTCCCCTCCTCTGCCCATTAACCCCGTGAGCGCTGCCCCCCCCCCATCCTTGCCACTGCGTAGAAGCCTGCCGCAAACAGCTGGCTTGGCTGGTTCCACAAGGCTGGGGTTGAGGCCCCCGGGGTGGCTCAGCAGAAAGCCCTTCAAGAACAAGGGAGACAGTAGAGGCCGCAGATGCAAAGACTCACAGGGGTGCAGCAATCAAGCCAGGTTTGGAACAGGGTGACCCTGGTACACGCCCACCCAGAGACAAGCACGTGTCCAGGGGAGGCCTGCCGAGGGCCGCCAGCCAGCAGTCTCCGGGAGCCGAGGGCAGCCGTGAGAGCTGCCCAGCCGTGTGCCCTCTGATGGGTCACTTCCTGCCTCTCTGAGCCTCCGGGCTGACTCTATAGTCCCTCCTGAGGACTGTCCGCCTCCTAATTCTAAGGAGGAAGAGGGGGAGCCTCCTGAGTCTCCTGGCTTCAGCTGGGGCCTGCCTTGGGGTGCAGGTGAGGTGATGATGACATGGAAGGCACATCCCAGCTCAGCCCCTCCCTGGCTGTGTGTTCTCGGGAAGCTTCCATTTCCTCCTCTGTAAAATGGGGGCCTGGATTAGTTATCTACTGCTGTGTAGCAAGTTGCTCCAAAACTTAGTGGCTTAAAGCATCAGTAATCACGTACCGTCTCTCACGGTTTCCGTGGGTCAGGAGCTCAGGAGCCACCTAGCCAGTAGCTCCGCTCCGTGTCTCTCGTGAGGCTGCAGGCGGATGTTGGCAGGGGCTGCAGTCCTCTGGAGGCTTGACCATGCTGGAAGACCTGCCCCCGAGAAGGCGCACGTGGCCCTCTATGGGGGCCTCCCCCTCGGCTGCTCCGGCATCCTCACAGGCGGCCGCTTCCCCAGAGCAAGTGATCCAAGAGGGGAGGAGGCCACAGAGCCTTCCGCGACCCTGCCCTGGAAGTCACACTCCTTCACTTACACGGTATCTTACAGGTCACACAGGTCAGCCCCATGTGGAGTGGAAGGGCGTGAATACCAGGAGGTGAGAAGCATTGGGGTCGGGGACAGATCTTGGAGGCTGCCTGCCAAGTGCCACAACTTGTCTGCTTCCTTATCTGTAAAATGGGACCACCTCCCACCTCTTGGAGCTGTCAGGTGCTCCAAACAAGAGGCATGGAGAAAAGCTGTAGGCATGGGGCCTCACATATACTAAGCGCTCACCAAAGGACGGCTTCTGTGTCACGGCACCACCGTCGGCTCCAACAAACTGGAGGGACCAACCCACCCTGGCTGAGCCCTGTTGACCAGCAGAGGGGCCAGATGGGCCCCTTCTTTCAATGAATGGAAACTAGAAACAGGCATTGCTCTTTTTTTTCTTCTTCTTAAGGTTTTAAGCACCTAATTTATTCCATCCATTAGATGGATTTTGTAGATTTAATCATTTTCACAGTTGGTGGCTCATTGGATACTCAAGATAAACTCCAAATGAAAGTATAATGGTGAGGACAAATGAGTTTTCACACCACAATGGCAGAAACTTGCTTGGGAAGAGAGTTTAAGAGGAACAAAAATACATATGGATATAATTTTTTTCCCCTGGCAGCCGCTTTTGCTGACTATAGTAGGTTACCACAGTTAATTTCACCAGTTTTGTTCATCTGTAAAATTGCATAAAAGTGACATTTTTGTGCTCATTATAGCAACTGCTGATTTATGGCTGGTAAATGAAGAGCTGGCCCCTTTTTTGCGGGACTCTCCAAGCGGCGCTAAGTGCCCATGAAATTGCTTGTATAATGTAGCTTAAATCCAATCTCAGAGAAAGATTCCCCCGTTGGCCAAAGTGACATTTCCATTCTCCACACCAAGTTTATTTTAGGCCACTTAGGAGGAGGGGCTGCCCCAGGCACGGTCAGGATGGGGGGCCTGGTGTCAGCTCCACCCACCTGGCCCAGGTTAGGCCACATGGATGGAGGGGCACTGCCCCAGCCTCCTTGGGGTACTCTGTGCCGCCAGCCTCTTCCCTCCCCACTGTCCTGCCCAGGTCAGACCACATCCCTGCGCCTCAGGGCAGAGAAGAATGGTCTTCCAGGGGCCTGCCCTGCCCCTCACCTGCTTAGAACCTTCCACAGCTGCCGATGCCTTGGGCGAGGGCTCCCAACATAGCGGCGCAGACACTAGGGGCCTGACAGGTCTCTGTGGTGGGATCTTTGTCCTGTGCATCGCAGGATGTTTAGCAGCATCCCTGACCCGTCGTACCCACTAGCTGCCGTAGAACCCTCTCTGCAAGCTATGACAACCGAACTCATCTGCGGATGTCAACAGTGTGCCCTGAGGACAGAACCATTGAGAACCACTGCCCCACAGCGAAGAGGCCCTGCTCTGGCCCGACACCCTCCTGAGCTGCCTGTCGTGGTCCTTCCTCCCCTGCATGCCTGCTCTGGGCTTCTGCTTTTATTCTGGTTTATAGTTCCCACTGGGACAGGCTTCCTCACCTCTGGACCTTTGCCTGTGCAGTTTCTTCTGCTGAAATATGTTTCTCTCCTCCCTCCTCGCTCCTTTCACCACTGCCTTTAGCAGGGATGCCCTTTCTTCCAGAAAGCTGCCTCTGAAGCCCTGGGGGTGAGGCTCCCCCATCACGGCATGCATTTTGCTCAGATTGGCTCTAAGTCCACCAGGGAGTCAGGGGTGAGGCTCGGGAAGGAGGGCATGTGGTGGGAAGGCCTAAGGAAGGCGGTGGGGTCTGCACTGTGTCCCGCCACAATGCCAGGCCCAGCCATGCACAAGCCCTGCCCCTTCCTCTCCCAGGAAGACCCCTGTGCCACTTCTGCTAATGCTCCACCGCACGACTCATGAAAGCCTCACAGCCCTCCTGGGAGGCAGTGTTAGCGGTGTAACCCCATTTTAGATGAGGAAACTGAGGCTCAGAGTGGTGAACACCCCCCCACACCCCCGCAGGAGTCACTGTTGGGTCCCAGGGGTGCCCACAGGGCCGAGAGGAAGGCAGTGCCCCATGAGACCTTGTAGGGTCCTCCTCACCCAAGGGCCCATCCAGGTCACGATCTCCCATCACCTACTGTTTGTCTCACCCCCCTGCTCGGCACCTTGGCACAGACATTCCTTGAGGCCACCCTGCAGATCTGCCACAGTCCTTATCTTCATTCCACAGGTGGGGAAACTGAGGCTTGGCCAGGCCAACAACTTGCCCAGGGCCACACAGCCCTGCAACCAGGCAGGACTCCACCTAGGCAGCCAGCTCCAAAGCCCAGGGTCTCTCCGTCTGCCTCACGCGGGCCTCCTGCTCCACTCCCCGCCCCAGAGGGCGTCCTGGGCGGCACTGAGGAATGTCTTAGGACCAGGGAGGGGCTTTGGATGGGAGAAGGGGGTCTACCCACCGGCAACCCGCCTACCCCACGGCAGGGCCCAGTTATGCCCACTGATGGTGGGGACAGTCAGCCTTGTCACACAGAGTACACCCTTCAGGGAGTTCCCTGGCGGTCCAGTGGTTAGGACTCCGCGCTTTCACCACTGAGGGACCAGGTTCAATCCCTGCCCAGGGAACTAAGATCCCACAAGCTGTGCGGCATGGCCAAAAAAATAAATAAAATAAAATAAACAAAGTACACCCTTCAGCTGACGTGCTGACAGCTCACAAAAAAGGCAGTGGCCACCACACAGGTCTTGCAGGTGACAGGCAGACCTGGGGAGGGGAGGGGCAGCCAGCGGGGGCAAAACCCCTCCTTCCCAGCTGCCTGTTGGTTGAACGAGGGTCGGTGAGCACCAGGATGAAAGCCACCTGCGGCAACTTGCCCAGCGCCAGGCCATGTAGCAACTCACTGAGCCATCCATGGGCCATCATCACCCCATTCTACAGATGAGGCGCCGAGAGGACAAGTAAAGGGGTGGAAGGAATGAACACCCACCAGAGTGGTGGTATTGGGGTTGGCCAAAAAGTTCGTTCTGGCCTCTCCATAAGATGGCACGGGAAACCTGAACAAACTTTTTGGCCAACGTAATACAATGGACGACGGTACCAGGCAGGTGGAGTGGAGGGTTTAGAGTCCCCGTAACTCCCGTGCTGGCGGGGGGGGGG